ATACAGTAAGGATGCAAAACATCGGTTTTTGGCTAGAAATGGCTAATTCTGCAGCGCATTTGGATTTCTGAATATAATTGAGGGATTTGTGGACTAATCCCCAGTAGCGATAAGCTCTATGTATCAAAAGGTAAACATCCAAAAAAAATCCAAAGTGATCAACTAGCCTATACCTCTCAAAGTGCACAGAGTGCTCATTTGGAGTTTTGCATGTAGAGAGACAATAGTCAAATGTCAGTAACAGCATAGTGAGCACTTTGAGAGGTATAGGCTAGCTGGTCACTTCTGATTTTTTTTGGACATTTACCTTTTGATACATAGAGCTTATTGCTAATGGAGGTTAATTCACAAATCCCTCAATTATATTCAGAAATCCAAATATGCTCCAGAATTAGCCATTTACAGCTAAAAACCGATGTTTTGCATACCTACTGTATCACACAGACCATTTCTGACATAGTAGATGACTAAGAAACATTCAATATGATGTATCCTCACCCTGTGCCACACCACACCATGATCACACTGCATTTGAGAGAGATCTGGTCCATATACACCCCCAAACCTACATGTGCACCTGCTACCCCATCAAAAACATGGTTTTGCTTTTTTCACTGTCTAACAGCAGCGGTTCTGGTGCTTGATTAATGTTTATATATATTTAAACTAAATTACCACAACAATAACAGTGCCAAAAACATATAAATTGGTGTTTCTGTGATTATACTGTGGCCCAATACACTGTTTTACCCCCTCAGTGCCCCACAATTAGTGCAGGACTATTCTGACTAATTTGTTACTGTAGATTGACTTCCCAAACATCAAAGTATATTTTCCAATCATCACTTCAACACCACCAAACATTCTAACCATGGTAATTCCTCCAGAGTAGATATTCTCCTCCTCCCCCCCTAGATGCGGCACCACTACCAAGGTCACGATCATTGTTTTTGTGTCCGGCGTGCTCCCCATCACTTAGTATTGATATAGGACTACCCATGACAGCAAAAACCAAGGCAATCGAACCACTATATCCCCAGTTCTGGCCTGCCCACTCTCTTCCACCTTAACAGGGCAATATCTTGCTGACCGTTTATGCTATAACTTCGGAACGAACGGACTGATTCCTTCCAAAATCGATTTACACCATCGTATGCATTTATCAATGTTTGTAACATAGTCAAAACCCCCTGAATTGGCCTCCTTCATGTTGCCAAAATTGGGCCACAATTCATGTTTTATACATCAATTCTGTCATGACCACACCAGAACAACTATATCCTACAAAGAGGGGTTGCTGGCAGGCGATCTCTCACTCAGAAACACACACAACAAGGGCGAGGAAAAGGTTGTATAGGGGGGAGATTGACGATCTCAAGACTAGAGTACAAAACAGGAAGTAGGTAGGTTTATATACTAGCCAGAACCAAACACAACCAAACCCAGGCCACAGTGGCACAGAAACTCGGAAAAGTGTGGTCCAACTGTGGCACCCACCAGGAAATAATGGAAAAGGGATGGAAATGACGGAAGGTCATGACAAATTCCATCGAAATGACACCCAGCAATGTGATCTGTCCGCTCTAATTCACAAAACTCACAAAGTTACTGGAATACCCCCAGATCACCCTGTTTCCCCTACCGATCTACCCTCAGGTATCCAGTACCCCCACCCTACAGGCGTAGCTGTAGCCTGTTTATAAAGAGTCCCTATAGTAAGACTGGGACTCTATACAGAGAGCCCATCATCTTACTGGCCCATGCTAATAAGGGCTCTTTATTAAAGAGCAGTGGTGCTGGTGGGTATTCTGGCTGGAAAAATGGGCGAAAAAATAGGCAAAAAATGCGTGAAAAAATGGGTGGGTAGGTATGGGGTGTGGCCCCGGGGTAGGGGGTGGTTTGGGGATGGGTAGGGGATGGGGTAGGGGGTAGGATAGGGTAGGAAAATGGGTGGTAATTGTGCAGTAGGGCTAGGATAGCTGGATGCAGGGTATGGAGAGGATGTATGGGGCTAGGTATGGGCTCTGGAGCTAGGGTAGATACATAGAGGAATATGGATAGAATGATGGGCGATAAAAATACGGAAAAATACGGAAATAATAGTAGGAATGGCTAGGATTGGTATATCAGGTACTGTGG